GACTAAAAACCACTGTGTGATGCGGTTCTGCTTTGCTTTCATGTTTGTTTGTGCAGCACTCCAATCTAGACGCAGCATCGTTACTGATGTCAAATAACTGTTCTGGCCTTTTAAAAATCAGGTCCTTGTCATGATTGTAACAGCATCAGAGATGTTAGACCAAACACAACATAATTCAACAAGGCCACAATGAGCGCCATTTTCTTCATATCTTGTTCATTAACATAATGAAGTCTCCATCTGAGGGGGGGAAAGACAGAAAAGGATAGGGCACAGGGGATTTTCAGCAGTTATCTTTCTCCCCTGGGCTGACCTAAAAATCCCATTAAAAAAAAGAAAAGTCTGAGAGTTTGTGTTTGTCATTCAAGAACAGCATAAAGATTTAGGAGTACACACATTATTACCACTGCTTATAGCAACTCAGGAACAGTCAACCAGGTGTTAGCAGTTTTGTTGGTTTAAATTTCTCTGTCATCTTCTATAGACTAGTGACCAAATGAGCAGGTCCTTTCACGCTTCCCTCTGGAGGGGTCCCTTCTTTGTTTGGAGGAACTATAAATCCATCACTGCTACCACGACCTAGCTGGTAGTAGGTGTGCAGCGGATGGATGTGGTTTCTGGAGCCTAGATTTGGCATGCTTTTGTAGTAAACATCTTCGGCATCACCACATTTGGCCGGTGGGGGTTCCGTCTGGGTGCTGGTGGTAACACTCTCTGCGGCAGGCACGCCAGCCAGTGCCGGCATGCTGGTGTAGAGAGAGTCCCTGTGGGGTGACTGGAGATCTTCTGTGTGCTCGTTGGTTAGCAAAGGGAAAAAACTCTCACTGTGGTCTTGGGGGATCCGCCTTCTGGTGTAATGGTGTGGCTGGTGGTTCTCTGTGGAGTAAACTCTTGGGGGCAGCAAAGGAGCATCAGATTCCTCATGAATGAGTTCCAGGCCCAAACTCTCCTCATGGTTAAAGGAGGTGGCATCATCCAGGACAATGGCATCATCTTCACTCCCACCGCCAAGGTTATTCACCAGCTTGTTCATCAGATTCCTGTTCTGTTCGCTGGAGCGCTCATGGTTGTTCAGGTAGGAAGGTATATAGTTGGAAGTGAGTTCCTTCAGAATCTTTTTCTCTAGGGTGGTCTCATTATGGTTATAGCCACGGTCTAGGATTTGCACACAGTTGCTCAGGTATTCACCACTGGCAATGCTGTAACTATTGCCATGGTTACCATTCAGTGGTAGAGTATCCATGACACTTGTATCCCTGGCATTGTTCAGAAGCCCCTCTGAAAAAGATTATAAAACACTATGACATTTATATCCAATTGACCACAGAACACACACACAAGCACAAAAGCAAAAACGATGACTATGAAGTATGTATAAATTGCTAGCATTTTTAGTTAAGTATAAAATGTTTGGAAACAAAGAAACACTATTAAATCTATATATACATTATCTATCTATCAATCGATTGATCGATGTATCATCTATCTATTCAGACAATTGATAGAAATCTTATAAATAGAAAAGAAATGTTTAAAATAAATCTTAAAAAAAACTATGAATTTGCAATTTCCACTCAAACATTGCCTGGAATTATTTGAAGTCTATTTGGTTAGAACTTAGAAAAAATAACACAAAATTTTGGGATAATCATTCATAGCTTTTAATTTACACACATCAAAGTCAATCAATATAATTAATTACCTTTAATTTTACATGTTATCTTAATATTGAAATAGGTATAATATTAACATAATTCATGTGTGGTACTTCAAATATATTGGTTAAAGTAAAAGAATCAAGCAGGTTCTAATAATTTGATGACATTAAAAATAATCCCTATATATAAAACCACAAAAGGATTATGTTAAATTTGCCAGAATGATGTAGTCATGAAATAATGCTTAGTCAAAAAAATGGCACATCAAAATAATTTGCATATAAAAACTTTTGAAACAAAAATATTCGGATTTACTTTCTAATTTTTTTTTCTGACATAAGCACATCAGTTACTATTATATGTTAACCCATTAGTAATTTTTTAGGGTCATTAGATAATACTATAAAAAATGTATAAAGACATAGGGATCTGATTCCTTAAAACATAGTGTTAGAATTAAAAGTTCCATTTCATAATGAGTGACGACTTTGCGTGTGTGTTAAAATTTGGATTTAAAAGAGCTTAAATATTACATTCTGGAAAGAAAGAACTTCAGTAAAATAAACTTGACCACATGCTTATTCAAGGCTTTTGCATAATCTTGAATGAACAGAAATCCAAGAATCTATAATAATTTCATAAATCACTTCAAATGCAATCACAAAAGAAAATAAAACACGAACATTTAACCAATACTAGTAAATAAGAAAAGGTATTTCTTTACAAAACAATTAATTGAAGAATTCTATTAAACTTCTCAATACACCATTAACTTGTGAAAATACAGGATTCATTCTATATCTGTGATGCAGTTATGTTTAACAAAACTAAACTAGTTCATTGCTGGTTTAAATAAAGTATCCCAAATATGTCAATTTTTATATGGACTTCTGATGAATACTCTGTATTCAAGTAGCACAGTTTTTGAAAACAGCAATGCATAAAATCCGTTAAAAAGCAGCCATCACAGACATAGGGTGAAGCGATTTATTTTCATGTTATAAGATATCTTGTAGACAAATCCACAATGTTAAGAAAAAAAAAGTAAATGCCTTTTAAAGGGCCATATGTGATGGGTGATTGCTGCTGCAGAGGCTGCTATGGTATGCTTGATGGTTATGGTCTAGTGACTGATGCATTGAAACATATGTTTATTATTTCCATTGTCAATGCATTAGGTACGAGTCCAAAACAGCCATATTAAAATAAAGTGGGCATGTTGCATGTGACATATATTTATATGATGAAATGTACTAATAAAAATTAAAATTTTATGAGTTAGCAAAAATAAATGCTTAATTTAAAAACAATTTAACTCACACAAACATTACATGAGACTTAACAACTATGTTGATTATGTGACACAATAAAAGAATCAGACAACAAAAGCGTCTAATCTCTATTAACATATATTTAAATAAGTCAATTCATAAGTTCTTTAGTTTTTAAATTGTGAGATGAACTGTTTTTAATAACTACATCATCTATATGTGATGCAATAAAAGTGAACTAAAAAAAATTACATTTGATATGCAATGTTTAGCTTTACTCCCATACTTGTCTCTCTGTAGGGCTCTAAACGACAGCATGAAGAAAAGGAAAGAAAAAACAACAAGTAAGCTTACAGCGACAGTAGAAGAAACATGAGTAAAAAGCAAATTGATGATATGCAGAAAAAAGAGTCAAAGGAAATAATTTCCACTGCCCCAAAATTCATGAGTTTGTGTTACATGGTTTATCATAATTAAAAATACCGAAATGTTAGTCAGAAAATAAGAACCCCCCCTTAACACATGCTAATAAAATGAGTCTTTCATAAGCATTTCTACAGTTTTTAGTAAATTTCAAACAAATACACTTTTTTTTTAAAGTTAAGATTATCTCACCAACCAAGAAGATAAAGAATGTGAGGACAAGCCACAACTACTTCTACAACTATATATAAATATTAATGTGTGTGTATTAGAAAATACCTGCTTCTAAGGAATGTTATTAACTTTAAAATTTTCATTAAAAAGTCTTTAGCTTATATGCAGAGAGGAAACTACAGTTGAAGTTTTTTGTAATTATGTATTTTCCCTTATGTATCTTCTCTGTCCATGTACAAGTTATTTTTCCCCAACTATATTTATACAAATGCTTCTTTACCAATTGTGAATAATATTGGTCATTTCTGGAGCTCATATGCAAAAGTTGTATAACTATGGAGAAAAAAAAAAGGTTAAATCCAATCTTATTCTGTATCAAGAAAATGCGAAGGGAAAAAATTACCACCATCAATATCAGGATTTTTTCTGTATTGTTGCACAATCATATGCAATCAAACATTTTTAGAGTTGATCTCTTAAAAACAATCATAGCAAAAATTTTTTTAACTCATAATCAGGTAGAAAAAACTGCTCTTGCTGATTTTGTTTACAGGAAGGTTAAATCATCACAAAATAAAAACCGGTGAATTCACTGGCTAGATTATTTAAAGAGATTCCAACTTGTAATTTAACTACTGCTTTAGAGATACAGTGTTTGTACTTAAAATGTTGATATGCTTCTCAGCAAAAGCCAACAATATTTCAAATTGCAGATGGAATTTCTTTTAGATTTTCAAAAGAGCTTTAGAAAAAGAACTGGCAATAAAGAGCCAAACCAGTACAGCAACATATGGAAATCGTTTGTAGGTTCATTATGGCTCCCTCTTTAAATGACAAAAGTTTAGAACTGGAAAGCACATGAGAGATAACTGAAGTTCAACTCCTGCTCTTCAGAGATGAGGAAACTGCAGCCAAGAGAGACTGAGCGTCACCTAACACCATCCTGCTAACAGTGGCAGCACTGAGATCAGAAAAGGAATCTCCTGGATTCCCTCTATGTATTACTATTGATCTCTTTCTCTTCACATTTGCCTTAGGCTTTGACAGCTGTAATAGAATATTTATTTATATATTTTATATTATAACCTTGTATTTTTACCAACTACCATGTATTCTTCACTATATCCCATACTAAGGATATATGTCTTTCTTTAAAGTTTTAGAATTGAATTAAATTACTTTAAAATGTAAATTATTTTGCAAAATCATGACTTCTCTATATTATGTTTTGTTGACGGGTTTATCGATAATAAAATTGATCTTACAAAAAATAAATTCTCCAATACTGACAAGAAGATAATGGTCCAGAAATACTATGCATGAAGTTTTAAATATTTCCACAGACACTCTGAATGCAATATAAGTTGTTATTCCTAACTCTAGAAGCTTCAGTAACACTAGAAACACACCCTTACATATTTTTAAATAAAGGCATTACAAGCAAAAATGGACACTTATTTCTGAACTCTTCTTTTGCTTGGATGTCATTCATTCTATGAATTAGAAGATTCATAGAATAGAACCAAATGGTAATTCAACATAAAGCACTCCAGTACATACCAAGCCACCTATATTTCATGTAAGATTTCACCTTGCCAGTAAGAATATAAGTGTATTCATCTGAAAGCATAAGATTAGTAGCAATATGACAATCACCAAGATCTATTTTGAGTCAGTGGTAAAAAGAATTATTTTAAGCACTACTATAGTTTCTCAACAACTTAAAAATATTAAAACATCAAATAGCTTAACGATTCCATTTCTGACTATGAAAAACATTAAAAAATATATATACTTTTGTTTTTAAGATAATTCAATAGAATTTATTTAACTTACTGGCATAAACAACAAATCCATTCAGAAGAGTTATTTTTATATTTATTGATAATCTTAATATCAATATCCAGTAATGGATTCTATAGAAATAAAACTTTGAATCTATATGGTATTATTTTAAATTTTGCATCATAAGAATTTCAATTTGACAGTATTTACAGAAGTGTCCCATCTTCATAAAAATCCCTTAATTTAAGATACCAGTAAAAATAAAATAAGAAGGCAGATACTGAATTAGGAAAAACATATAAAATAATTGTTAATTTTTTTCACTATATAAGACATTAGAAATCACGTGTGAATAATCAAAAAAGCTGAGCAAAATGTGATCTAAATTTATTATTTTTTTAAAACAATGTTCAACAACTTTTTTGTGTAAGGTGAATAATAATGTAGAATAGACAATTTGCAAATATGGTATAAATCTTCATTTAACAACATTCAAAACTGACTAATGCCAGCACACTTTAAAATGTTTATGATGACACAAAAATCTGTCACATAGCCTAATCTAAAAAAAAAAGGCTGTTAAACTGTTTTACCAAACCACATCTGGTACATTGTGTAATATACACTTCATTGAGCGCTACGATGAAATACAGACATTGACAAATGAGAAACAATTTAGGGCTGGGGGTAACCATGAAGGAGGACCTAGAAATCATCTCATATTGATGGCATTGAGGTTGTTTCACGAGGAAAATAGAGGACTAAAAAGTCAGGTTAGCTAGCTGCTTTCAAGTATTTAAAGGATTGCCACAGAGAGCACTATGCTTTGTGCTTTGCTCTGGAGGGCAAACCTAAGTGTCATGGCCAGAGGCAAATTTGAGCTCAGTGGAGGGAAAAAATACATATACGACAAATGGAGCATTTCAACAACTGAGTACCCTTGACCCATGAACAATATGGGTTTGAA